GGAATTACAAAGAATGAGGGGTCGCTGCTATCGGAAATGTTTCTGGGAGTACCAGAAAATTTAACCCAGAATCTATTTAAGGAATTAGTGGTTAATATAGATGACTTATTTCATGGATTAAATGCTGATAATGTGACCGACTTTTACCTCCGGGGTGTCAACGAAAGCAGTTCAACGGCACTTCGACAGGCTTTCTACGGCCTGTTCGGTGATCTCTTTATCAATTGTCCGACTTATCTGTTCAGTAAACAAATAGCTAAACATATGATGAATAAACAAAACGTTTATTTCTATGAACTCACGTATCAAATGCCACTAATTGTACAAATGTTAGGTTTGGATGAGGAAACTGTGGGTATTGTTCACGGAGCGGATATACCCTTTGTGTTTGGTATACCTGTCCTTCGTCCAGAATTTTCTACACCAGAAGACGTCGATTTTAGTAGACTAGTGATGAAATTGTGGACTAATTTCGCCAAATATGGGTATTTGCTAATTGATAACATTATTTTCAGACACTCTCAGTGGTTAAAGCTATAGGATTTTTGAATATGTTTTATCTGGATACAATAATTATTATTTTTATATGTATAGCAAACCGGATGAACAATGGCCTAAACTATTGGGAGATAATAATTTGATTTCAGTGAGGGATTTGAACCCAGGTCATATGGATCGGGTATATTATAATCCCTTTAACACAACCTGTGATGGATTTTGGAAAGACTATTATTTGTAATGAATCACCATATTTTATTAATTAAATAGATATTTTCTAGCTCAAAAATAATATAATTTAGTTTATTATTATTATATCTATTAATATTTTAACGATTTTGTTTATTATGATATTACATTAAAATAATAATATAATATTTTTATTTCAATTTGATTTAATGACATGAAATTATGTTTATGCATGCAAAATTTAATAGTATTGTTTGAAATATAAAATAATAATAATAAATATATCTAATTTAATTGATTGCAAAATTTTAGTAAACATAATTAAATAGATCGTTATTTGTACTTTTGAACTAATTATTTTGCACTAGTTGATATAAATACCAAAATTATTAATATAATATTTAGTATTAGATATAAAGTACTACATATTGACTTTATCTATAAGTTTATTATATTTTATTTTTAACATGGTTAACACATTTATTGTCAAAACATTGTTATTCTATTATCGCATACATGGCATTACATTTGGGGGACTTGTGGTTAAGACAAACATTTGCCAAAATAAATTCATAAAATATGCGGGAATGTTACCAATATTATTTTTGGTAATATTTTATGCTTACTACTTTGGTAATGCACTTTTGAATTTTAACCAATATTCAAGCGTATTTATAATGGCTGTTGATGATATGAAATCAATGTTAATTGGTTATTATATTTTCATATTGATGGTTTCTATACATCATGTATTTATTGTCTATACTTTTAACACTCAAACTGGTTATGAACTAATTACATTATTTGCCCATAATATTCGGTATTATCTCAAGCATAAACTTAATATTAAAATATTAGCATTGTTACTTTTTTGGGTATTGGTAATGTTAATAGCATTAATGGTGGCTATATTTGTAATAGTTAAAAATCATACTAAAATGCCATTTACCTGGATTATAATGGGATTGTGTTTTTATCATTATCATGTAACTAAGTTGATGGTGTCATTTATGACCTGGTTCATGTCGTATTATGCTATTGATATAATCGATGATATCAGCAATGGCATTTCTATAAAGTCTACCATTACCAAAACGGGTAAATTTAAATTATATATATTTTAAATGTTAAATATTAATTATTGATATTTACAATAATTAACTAGGACAAAAACTTGAAAGCCATGGTAATGCGATTAATTCTACAAAAAATTTAAAACAAAATAAAACAAAATTTGTTAATCTCTGGCAAACAATACAGAAATTGGATTCTAAGCTACATTTAATACAAACAATTAAAAATTTTAATGTCATTTTAAGCATAGTTGCCGGAATATATTTCACTGTGAATTTCAATAAATTTACCAAGGTCAAAAATCATCTAACTTATAACACGGTAATAATTGCATTTAATGTTATGGATTTGATTATCTCGTGCCTAATCTGTGGATCTGTTGAGCAAAATACTACTAAAATTATAAAAGCCTTGAATGATATAAGTTGCGACGATTTAACGGACAGGGAGTTCAAGGAATGGCTTATGTTTGCGACTGTAATGCGAAATACGCGTACATTTGGGTTCACTATCGGAGGGTTCGCTGCACTCAATAAATCCACACTTATTTCGGTTATAAATATTTGATTATAAAGTTTTTATTTATATATTTCTAATGAGATTTTCAATTTATATAGATTTTTGCATTCGTATTGAACTATTCTGTTATCATTTATCAGACAACAAAATAATTGGATAAAATGCCATCCTAATCATTTTAATTTATTATATTATTTTATTACACTATAATTATATAATTGTTTGTTGCAAAAAAAACATATATAGATTATATTTCACAACAAATCTTAATAAACAGATTACTTTGTTGCTATGTTTTTATTATTTAATATTTTTGAGTGCTATCTTATAATAATTTCTAAGATATATTTCATTAAAATGAGTGTAAAAACATATTGTCAGTACATGTTTATTATATTGTTAAAGCAAAACCTTAAATCTAATATTGTATAATTGTTTTTAATTTATTAAAAGAAAATTTTTATTGTATTCTCTCTCTCTCTCTCTCTCTCTCTCTCTCTCTCCCTCTCCCTCTCTGCACTCAAAAAATCCACACTTATTTCGATCTGTATTTTGAAATAATTTATTTGCAATACATTAAATATTTTATTTATTATAGATATTTGCATTTGTATTGAATTATTGCGTTATTATTTATCAGACAACAAAATAATTGAATTTATAACATTTAAATGCTTTTATCATATTAATTTATAACATTATAAGTCATTAACTTTGGAAGTTTTTATAAATTTCATTAAAGTATTAGACATGTAATCGTTTTCTTAGCTCATAAAAACAAATTATTAAAATTAGCAAATGATAAAAATATAAAGTTAATTTGAAATACATTTTTAATGGATATGTACTAAAACAAAAAATCTTTCATGCTATCACAAAGTGCCATATTTGCCATTTTTATTTATTAGTTACTTGTAATATCATTCAACATGAATAAAATTATAATCGCAAAAGCATTGCTTTTCTATTATCGCATACATGGCGTTACATTTGGCGGTTTTGTGGTCAATACAAATGTCCATAAAAATAAATACATTAAATATTGCGGAATGTTGCATATATTTTGCTTGCTAGCAGTTTATGCATATTATAATTTTATGAATTTTAGACAATATTCTGATATTGGTGGCATGTCATCAGTCATAATTGTTACTAGTATTATGGTATTATTGATATCAATCCATCATTTAATTATTATCTATACATTTAACAATCAAACCGGTTATGAAATAATGGCATTATTTATTGAAAATTGTAAGTATTTTATACGAAATAAATTTCGTATTAAAATGGTATTATTGCTACTATTTTGGTCATTTTTAATGTTAATAATATTGATATTGGCTATATTTCTCATAATTGTAAACTACACTAAAATGCCCTTTTATTTGATTATTTGGGTATTATGTTCTTATCAGTATTATATACTTAAATATATGGTTTCATTTATTACCTGGTTCACATCATTTTATGCTGTCGACATAATCAATGACATCAGCAATAATATTACTGATAATCTCGTCTATGATAATCAAAGTTAGTTTATATAGATTTATATAATATTTATAATTTTAGTTAAGTAGTACATTTTTACTTACAAAGAGTAAGTTACGAGTTACTATTAATACTTACTAGCTACAACTAGATACATAAATAGTTATGTACAAAAATTTTATTTGTGTAGTTTAATAATGTCAATATTAAACAATACAAATTTATTATTAAATCCTAATTATTAATTCATTTATCTAGGTAACAGACTTGTTTTTCATAGGAATGCCAATCTAATTGAACAAAATAAAACAAGATTGGTACATCTCTGGCATACAATACAAAAATTAGATTCACAATTAAATGTGATACAAATCCTTAAGAATCTTGATACAATTGTTTCCATATTATTTGAAATATACTTCATTATAAATTTAACAAAATTTTCAAAGATTAATAATCATCAAACGTATTCCATGTTTGCCATTTCTTCAAATGTCATGGATTTGATTATCTCATGTTTAATCTGTGGATCAATTGAGCAAAATACTACTAAAATTATAAAAGCCTTGAATGATATAAATTGTGGTCATTTAACGGACAGGGAGTTCAAGGAATGGCTTTCGTTTGCGACTGTAATGCGAAATACGCGTACATTTGGGTTTCGGAGGTAAAAGTCGGTCACATTATCAGCATTTAATCCATGAAATAAGTCATCTATATTAACCACTAATTCCTTAAATAGATTCTGGGTTAAATTTTCTGGTACTCCCAGAAACATTTCCGATAGCAGCGACCCCTCATTCTTTGTAATTCCGGCCATTAAATCGATATCTATATTAAAATATATTATTAATTATAATATAGAATATTCTATTGATAATCGTTTCAAAACCTGAATCATATATTTTGTTTGCAAATGTCTTTTGTGCCGAAAATGGCATAAACTCTGTGCCCAACACCGGGAATATAGCCCAACTACCCTTCATCTCATTTATATGTATTACATGTCTCGTATGATTAAATTGATAGCTTAGTATATCCTGAATGTCAACCCCTCTCAAACATTTGAGCCAATTATCAGAGTCACTACAATTCAATTCATTTGCTAACTCTTTAGCCATTAGTAAAGCTTCAGATTTTGTGATCACATCTCTATCCTTGTTGTAAAAATGTGCTCCACTTTGCATAATAGCCCTCTTAAACAGGCCCTTTGATAGGGGAGACAATATGTGTGCCGATACGGACCAACTGCCGGCACTCTCACCAAATATAGTGATCTGATCCCTATCCCCACCAAACAAATGGATATTATCTCTCACCTAATATAACGATAAAATAATATATCAGTGAAAGAAATACAAAATAAAGGTCTGCTTTAATCCTTTGAGAACGTGGTTGAAACTGCTTGACAAGTAAAGTATAAGTGTTTACTAGGATTTTATATGTTGCATATATTGTACTATAATTGAGACTAATAATACATCTACTTTTGTCAATATTAATAACTTATTTTGTTGAAAAAACTAATGATTAATTTATTGTACAATATATGCAACATATAAAATCCTAGTAAACACTTATACTTTACTCGTCAAGCAGTTTAAACCACGTTCTCAAAGGATTAAAGCAGACCTTTATTTTGTATTTCTTTCACTGATATGTTTCAAATAAAATTCTATAATATTTATATAAAATAATTTTTTTAAAAACTCAAACCCATTTGAGAGCTAATAATTGGTCATAAAATCCCATATTTCCGGGCGCGTCCTCCCGATCCCCATACATAAACCCAAACCATCCGAGTCTGTAGTTCACGGCCACAACCACCACATCATTGGCCACCAAAACACTGCCATTAAACATAGCTATTGATCCCATAGTGAGAGCCCCTCCATGTATCCAAAACATTACAGGTTTGAGTGGTGTATCATTTGATGAGTTATTGTTTCCCACATTAGGTGTCCATATGTTTAGTACCAAACAGTCCTCACTTTGTGTGATATTTAGACTCTCTTCCCGAGCAGTCATTCGTGACTCCATTTGCACACAACTGTGTCCACGATTTATGCCGTAAATTATACCCTATATTACAAAGAGACACATTTATGGGTACAGTATATTTTTGAGAAATTAGTCCTTAGATAAAACATACATTTTTTGGTGTTTTAAGAGGCACTGGTTTAGCAAACCTAAGCTCACCGACCGGTGGTTCGGCATAAGGTATACCCAAAAACTGGTCAACACTTGTGTTCAACACATCTATAGTGAGACCTCTCACTACACCTGATGTCGTGTTCACATCAATACTATTATCAATGCATACAATTAGGCAGATTTGAAATCCACATATTACCAAAAATAGCTGGCTAACTTTAAACATTTTTCAAGTATTAATATTATTTTGTTTTGTAAAAACAAGTTGTTATATATTTTTCATTTATTTTTTACAATTTTAATGCAAAACTTTTATACCATTTTTATGTAACAATCAAAGTATTATTGATCAGANGATGTGTTGAACACAAGTGTTGACCATTTTTTGGTGTTTTAAGAGGCACTGGTTTAGCAAACCTAAGCGCACCGACCGGTGGTTCGGCATAAGGTATACCCAAAAACTGGTCAACACTTGTGTTCAACACATCTATAGTGAGACCTCTCACTACACCTGATGTCGTGTTCACATCAATACTATCTATTGAATCATAACTGGATAATAAAATGACAGCAATCAAAATAATAGCCATTACTTCCTATTTGATGTAATTAGTTTACTATAATATTATGTTTAAATCAAATTAATGGTATATGTTATGAAAGATACAGATATTATTTAAACACATTTCTTTTCATCAACATTAATTGCTCAATAGCAATTTATATCACTGCTAACATCTAATTGATAATTAATTGTTTTTAAGGTTTTAGGTAATTTATATTTTTATTTAAACATGTTCAATCAATATTAATAGTCTTTCCAAAAGCCATCACAAGTGATGTGATAATTAATTTAAAACTTGAAATATTTTTAATTGTAGCAATTCAATTTAACATTGAATATACGGAGAATATAATAACCATGCAAAATAATTTTAATTCTGAAGTGATCATGGTAGCAATTCCTTTAGAATTATCATTAAAATAATAATGTTTCCAAAAACCATCACAAGTATTGCGGAAAGGATTATCCAATACTTTATTCAAATCCCATGGATTTAAATCCAGCACTTTTATCTCATTTTTAGCACTTAATAGTTGAGGCCATTGTTCATAAGGTTTACTACAAATTGAGAAACATTTGTAAGTTTTATAAAAAGAGTAAAAATTTATAATGTTAAGTATCATATTTAGCTATATAAAACTAATTAAACACTAATTTACCCATATTTAGCAAAGTTAGTCCACATTTTCATGACATGTAAACTGAAGTTGACATCTACCGGTGTGGCTATATCAGGAAGTAGGAACGGTATGCCAAATACAAAGGGCACATCCATTCCGTGAACAATTCCTTTGTCCTCCAAACGTCCTAATTGTGCAATTTCTGGCATTTGATACGTGAGTTCATAAAAGTATACGTTATGTTTGCCTCCCATTTGTTTAGCCATTTGTTTGGCGAACAGATAAGTCGGACAATTGATACAGAGATCACCGAACAGGTCATAGAAAGCCCATCGAAGGGCTGTTAAATTACTTCGGTTGACACCCCGGAGGTAAAAGTTGGTCACACTATCCACATCAACTGGGTAATTTCTGGCGTTTAAATGAGCTAACAATTCATTGTACCCTTGGACAGTCATATTCTCGGGTAGACCCATATATGCCTCTGAGAGGGTCGACCCTTCATTCTGTGTAATGCCTGCCATTAAATCGATGTCTAATACATAATCAGAAATATTTACAATTAATACAAAATCTTAATTAATCTATAAATTGAAACCTGTATTAAAATTATTAGTTTCAAATGCATTTTGTGCGGAAACGGGAAGGTATTGGGTGCCAAACACGGCATACGTGGGCGACTTATAAAGTGCTGGAAATTCCGAGGGGTCGACACCTCTCAGATATTTGAGCCAATCTTCCCCTTCCGTACAATTCAGTTGTTTTGATAACTCTTTGGCCATATTTAGGGCTTCAGTCCTATTGACGGGATCCCTGTCCTGTTTGGCCAGAATGGATCCGCTTTGCATTATAGCCCGTCTAAACAAACCTCTTGTTAAGGGCGATAATACATGTGCCGATACGGACCAACTACCGGCGCTCTCACCAAATATAGTAATCCTATCCCTATCCCCACCAAATTGATGTATATTTTCTCTAACCTATAATTATTTGATTGTATATAACAATAATTTAAATATTAAATAAATAATAATAATTTTTATACCCATTTGAGAGCTAATAATTGGTCATAAAATCCCACATTTCCGGGCGCGTCCTCCCGATCCCCGTATAGGAAACCAAACCATCCGAGTCTGTAGTTCACGGCCACAACCACCACATCATTTGTGGCCAAAACACTGCCGTTATATAATTCAATAGACCCTCCCGTCAAACCCCCTCCATGTATCCAAAACATGATTGGTTTTAGTGTTTTCGATGAGTTATTGTTTCCCACATTAGGTGTCCATATGTTTAGTACCAAACAGTCTTCACTTAAGTTTGATTTTCTCAAAAAATCCCAATTTTTTGACACCCATTGCCAACAAGTATTTCCTTGTTTTCTCCCATCAATAATATCCTACAATAGTATGAATTTTATTGTTTGTTATTTTTTTTAACAAATCTTACATTTTTAGCATTTCTTATTGGCACTGGTTTAGCAAACCTAAGCGCACCGACCGGTGGTTTGGCATAAGGTATACCCAAAAACTGGTCAACACTTGTGTTCAACACATCTATAGTGAGACCTCTCACTACACCTGATGTCGTGTTCACATCAATACTATCGATTAAATCATAACTGGATATTAAAAATATTAAAAACACAATCATTTGAATAATAGTCATTATTTTATATTTAAATATTGTTGTGTATGGAAACGTTCAGTTAAATGAATGTTATACAGTATGGTACCAAGGACAGAATCGTTATTTGAACACATTCCTGTTTTTAATAGTTTAATAAGTATTTGAATTTGATTAATTAATACATTGATATAATGGATTTCCCCTCGTACTCAATATATCATTTGAATTTTATGACTAATGAATTATTTTATAGATTTATTAAACTAGTACAGGCTTATAGTATTAAAATTGATTCATGTTATAAATATACTGTTAGTACCGGTAATAATTGTACATTTATTATTATATTACAAAAAATAATTTGCCTTTTTAAAATTTTTAAGATTTACAAATCAAATCAAATTAATTGAATAATTTTATTCGAGCTAATTTTAAATTAGAAATACAGTTGCCATTGTTAAATTAACAGTCTCGTTAATGATAAATAATTTGTACAAAACATAAATATAGATAGCAAATAAAATCTTGATTCAAATGTGACCATGGTAGCAACTCCACGTACATTTTCATTGAAATAATAGTGTTTCCAAATGCCATCACATGTTGTTTGAAACGGATTATCCAATACTAAAGTCACATTTCTTGGATTTAAATCCAAGACTTTTATCTCGTTTTTATAGCCCAATAGTTGAGGCCATTGTTCATCCGGTTTGCTATGAATTGTAAAAATAAATAATACATAAGTTTTTAAAATAAATATCATTCAGGACTAGCAAGTCTTAATTAAATATAATTTACCCGTATTTCGCAAAATTAGTCCACATTTTCATGACATATCTACTAAACACTTCATCCACTGGTGTGGCAAACTCAGGATGAAGGAACGGTATGCCAAACACAAAGGGCACATCCATGCCGTGAATAATACCCTTGTCATCCATACCACTCAATTGGATCAGTTCTGGCATTTGATACGTGAGTTCATAGAAGTATACGTTATGTTTGTCTCCCATTTGTTTAGCCATTTGTTTGGCGAACAGATAAGTCGGACAATTCATAGAGAAATCCCCGAACAGGTCATAGAAAGCCCATCGAAGGGCTGTTACATTGTTTTTGTTGACATTACCTAGGTAATATCTGATCAATGTACCCACATCTAATCCATGGTAAGTGGAATTCATTTGAGTAACCAGCTCCTTAATCACTTGGACACTCATATTCTTGGGTACACTCATAAACCCCTCTGAGAGGGCTGACCCCTCATTCTGTGTAATGCCGGCCATTATATCGATATCTAAACACATAACAAGAATTATTTGATAATATTGTGCTATAATACTAAATATTTCTATACAAACCTGAATGAAAATTATTTCTTTTAAATGAATTAGTCACTGAAAGGGGCAGGTATTGGGTGCCAAACACGGGATATGTTGGCCATGAATATAGTTTCGGAAACTCTGAGGCGTCGACACCTCTCAGACATTTGAGCCAATCTTCCCGTTCCGTACAATTCAGTTGTTTTGCTAATCTTTTTGTCTGTAATAATGCTTCAGTCCTATTGACAGGATCCCTGTCCTTATTACCCAAAATGGATCCGCTTTGCATTATAGCCCGTCTAAACAGTCCACGTGTTAACGGCGATAATATATGTGCCGATACGGACCAACTACCGGCGCTTGCACCAAATATAGTGATCCGATCCCTATCCCCACCAAAAGAATGACTATTTTCTCTGATCTAGACGTTAATAAATAAACAACAGTATTATGTGATAGTTTAATTTTTTATTTTAAAAATCGTGTATTTTATACCCATTTGAGAGCCAATAACTGGTCATAAAAGCCCACATTTCCGGGTGCGTCCTCCCGATCCCCGTATATGAAACCAAACCATCCGAGTCTGTAGTTCACGGCCACAACAACGACATCATTGGTGGCCAAAACACTGCCGTTATGTAACTTTATTGAACCCATTGCTAGAGCCCCTCCATGTATCCAAAACATGATTGGTTTTAGTGTTTTCGATCGGTTATTGTTTCCCACATTAGGTGTCCATATGTTTAGTACCAAACAGTCTTCACTTAAGTTTGATTTCCCAAAGAATTCCATACTTTTTGAAACCGTTTGCCAACAAATATTTCCATGTTTTGTAGCATCAATAATATCCTACAACAGTATGAATAGTATTTTATTGCTTATAAAAAATCAACAAATCTTACAGTTTTGGCATTTCTTATTGGTTGTGGTTTTGCAAACCTAAGCGCACCGACCGGTGGTTCGGCATAAGGTATACCCAAAAACTGGTCAACACTTGTGTTCAACACATCTATAGTGAGACCTCTCACTACACCTGATGTCGTGTTCACATCA